TCATTGCACTAAATCCGTTTCAAACAATTTGTAGTTGTTTCAACAAATGTCCATTTGACTTTCTTTCTGGCCGGCTGGTGCGCAAGATAACTCTCGAGGGGAGTAACCGATATATAAATACAATATTAGGCACGACCTATTGTTTTCAATATTTATAAATCCAATATTATCCGAATGAAATGTCCTATTTGATCCATAGTTTTCAAATTGTATTATTTCTTTCAAACTCAAATCAAGTTCGATGGTGGGGAATATTGGTCCACTCCTACTGGTATATAAAATGGTCAACATTTTGCTGAAAATTTTAACCTGTTATAATGTTGGAGGATGGGGCTTATCGGTTCAAAAATTTTTAAAACTTTTAAATCTCAAATGAAGCAAATTGAATATCCAATTTCATCAAAGAATCATCTCAGATCGTAATATGTCGGTTCACTTTTTTGCTCTTTCCCCACAAAATGTCAAAAGTTAACACAATTAAAATAGTTGTTAATATAATATTAATACAATATCAAGGGAATGGAATATCCGATTTGATCCAAAATTTGTAGATCGTTATACGATTACTAAATAAAGATGAAGTCCGAAGATCGCCCACTCTATGAAAAAAATACATTTTAGATCGGAATGTATTTCTGTGACTTGTCTGTAAATTATCTGCCCTTGATGAGGGGATACATCAGTCGCAGTGAACTGTAAAACTATATTAGCGCCATCTATATGTGGTGTATAACCATATCACAATATACACGTAAACACTACTTCGGACACAAACCATCAGAGACAACCAAACAGTTCCTAAAGGTATGCTATATATTTAACAATATGTGATGCGAAAATGTACAAGTAACCAGTGACAGGTACGAATCGAAAATTGCCATAAACCAAATCTGTCGACTCACAAATGTTTGACGAAGCTACAACTCCGAAACAAATCAAGTACTCCGTTAATCTTATGATATTTAAAATTTTTGAATAGATTGTCACCTTGTGTGGGAGGAATCAGAAGGAGCTGATCAATAATCCCCATCTTCGACTATGACATAGTTTTGATAAAAATATTAGATTGTGTAAAGTTTGGATAAAAGCTGATAATCCGTTCACAGGGTATTATAAATTAATTTTTCACCAAAATGTTGGCCATTTGTTGGGATGTAATTAACAAAAGGAATGATCTTATAGTCTCTATCTTCGATGCCAGATTATGTTGGAAAAATGGCTAACTCATGTGCATCAAACAGCTTGAGAAACCAAATATTGAGTCGTTAATCTATTATGACCTCCTGGTATATATTTCACTGTACAATTTCTTCCAATGAAAACAAAATTCCACACGAAAAATTCTTGAATTTGTTGTCATTAAATGGCACGCTAATTCTATCAAAGTTTGTTTACAAGTGACGACCATATGCGTCTCGTAACAACAATCATTTCTTACCTCCGGACATTTGTCGCTCAACACAAAGAGCTTTCCAGCTGTAAACACTTACAATAATATTTACGATGATGTCAAAACAAGTTTCCTACTCAACATGTGTGGTGCGCTTTTTGCTTGAGTCTGGAACCGAGAAAAGAATTCCCTAACATCTGGTGGCCCCGAGGTAATGAATGGTGTTGACAGTAATGATGTTGTCAATAGCTTACTTATAACTGGATTTGTTATGGTATGGATAAGATAGATCGAAGTGTGTTCATTTCTTTTTTTTTCAATTCTTTGAAAGAAATTGAAAATTGTAATTGAACATTCCATTCCAATGCATTGAATTGGATTGCTGGGGTATATGAGAATGTCGTTGCGTATTGATTCTTGAAAACGTTGCCATATAAGTATGTTTATGTATGGAAACGATTTCAAGAATGCATTGTGCAAATTGACGCAGATACAAAATACAGTAATGTCTCGATAATATAGAAAATGTGTTAAATCATATTCCAGATGTAACTAACTTATTTAAAATAAATTATTTAATTATTAGTATTTACATTTAAAATAGCCGGTGAAAAAAGTGCTGGTTTGAGCTAATGTTTGACAGCTCGCATTGTTCGTTATATGAATTTCTCCGAAGACCTCATGCAAACAAATTGTGGTTGTTATCATTCAGAATTTATTTCATACTTTGTTCAAGCGGTACAGTCGACGCCTTGCCAGTTTTGACGAAAAACTAAGCGACCATTTACTTCGAAGTGCTCCTTCCATGTACAAATTTCGTTGGGTTTTGCTCGTTTTTGAAGATCGATTACTGTTTACTGTTAGGCTCATTTCCATAATTGGTAATTTTGCTAATTTGAACTATATGTATGCAAACAATACAGTAGTTTGGACTTATCTGTACAAACAACACTTGCAATGATTTTTATACAGGAAAGTCAAAAGTGCAGCTATCTTAAATCGCTTACCAGCCAAGTGCACGTATGTGAAATCACTGTAAAGAAATGTGACACTGCTAATTTTTCTATAAAATCGACTTTATGTGTATAAAATGAATCATATTTATTGCGTATATTTATTTCATATTGTTTGGTTTCCGACGATCTGTAAAAATATATCGACTTTTTTTACTCCCTGCGCAGCTAAATGAAAAAAGTGCAAATTTTCTGAGCTATTATCATAAATGTGCAGCTATGAATTATGCGCTTTATGATTTCCATTGTATCTAAATGCAACAAATTTAAGTAGAGAGAGTGCAATTTTTCTGACCTCTTGTCTTAATTGTGCAGGTATGAATTGTGCTCTTAAACGAACTATTATAGATAAACTAATGTTTATCAAAATTATCTTATCGAAGTGGATAAAATTTAACACATCGGATTCCTGATGAAAAATACTTCCTTCCAGAAATTATTCTCTATAGGGTAATGTTTTATTAATGTAGAGTAATGTTATGTAATCTTTCATTACTAAGTGGTACTGATAGTAGTAAATTTGATTTTGGAGGTTTAGGAAGGTAAATTCATACTGTAAGTGTAAGAAAAGTCACAAAATGTCACTAAAGCTTCTACAAGTAGTATCGAGCGAACAAATAGAGTTGGAATCTTGAAATTTGGCATGGAAATGGGTCTATAGGAATGAGATAAGAAACAATTACTTTTAAAGGGTACTAAAATAGAACGGCTGAAGCGTAATTTTGGCCTCGAAATATGCAATAGCCCATAAATTATATATTGTTTATCAGAATAAAATGTTATGTCGATTTAGCCATGCCATATACATTTTTCTTATTCTTTGGATGTTTGGAAAATGGAATATATCGGCCCACGTTTTGGTATATCCCCATTATTACCCCAATATTTGATATTTTGAATCTTTTGGGATTTTTCACACCACACTGTGGTGAATCACTTTCTGAGTCGATTTATCCGTCTGTCCGTCCGTCCATGTTAAATTGTAAATAAAGTACAGGTCGCAGTTATTATCCGAATTTGGCACAGCTCATCTATTTGGCCCAAGGACGAACCCTATTGAAATTGGGTAAAATCGATTCAGATTTAGATATAGCTACCATATATATTTTCGTCCGATTTAATGTAAATTGTGCACCAAAGTCTCTTTATATCTTTCGATTTGCACGAAATTTGACATAGCGTACTAAATTATGTCTAAAGTTATGTGTGTTAAGTTTCGTGAAAATCGGTTCAGATTTAGATATAGCTCCCATATGTATGTTCGACCGATTTAATGTATATGGTGTACCAAAGTGCCTATATAACCATCGATTTCCGCGAAATTTGGCATAGCGTACTGAAATGAGACTAGAATGATGTGTGTACATTTGCTTGAAAATCGGTTCAGATTTAGATATAGCTTCATATTTAATGTAAATGGTGTTCCAAAGTGCCTATATAAACTTCGATTTCTACGAAATTTGTCCCATATATCTTTCGATTTGCACAAAATTTGGTATAGCGTACTGGATTGAGTCTAGAATGATGTGTGCTAAGTTTCGAGAAAATCGGTTCAGTTTTAGATATAGCTCCCATATATATTTTCGCCCGATTTAATGTAAATGTTGTACCAAAATCCCTATATATCTTCCGAAATTTGACATAGCGTACTGAATTGAGTCTAGAATGATATGTGTAAAGTTTCCTGAAAATTGTCAGATTTTAAGACCCAAAGTTAGGCCAATTGCCAGACAATTTTGCACAACGTACCACAGTTTGTGTAACATAACATGTGTCAGGTTTTGCTGAAATCAGTTCGGATTTAGATAGGATGCATCTTTTTAATATACCCATTGTGGTGAAGGGTATCATATAGTCGGCCCCGTCCGACTTTACAACTTTCCTTACTGGTTTCATTTGATAAAAAATGTTACGAGAATTTTAATAAAACACCATGATTATATTAATTTTTGAATTTCATAATTATTTTTTATTTATATAACTTTTCTATTTTAAATAACATAAAAGTGATTCAAACCTTTTGTTTAGCACACACATTAAGCTTGAGGTTGGCATTTGTTTGTTTGTTTTTGTTTACAAATAAATTCTTACAAAATACGCGGAAGTATTTGTTCAGTAGGAAAAGTTATATATAAAAATTATAAAACAAACAAAAAAAGAAATTATTTAAAATTATAAAAAAAGGAAAATTAAACCTGAAAAGAATTGTTGCAACAATTTTTGAGATATCACAAGGTCAAGAGTGAGAGTTCGAAAGGAAATAAAAAAAATAAATGTGAAAAAATGCATTAAAAAAATAGTGAGGAGGGGTTATAGGGAGGAAGGGTAAGAGGGGTTAATGGAAAATGGAAAAAATATGAAAGGGGGTATTGTTATAGATCGCGATCATTATAGATGTGGAACAGGCAGGCAGTGATTGTGAGTAAAGTCTCCAAAAATGGGATAGGTTTGACAGTTTGACAAAGACAAAGAGAGTGAAAGAGAGACAGAAATTCATTATTTGAAAAGATTTTTATAAAAAATAAAATATTTTGCGGAAAAAAGCCATAAACTAATAGAAAAATGTATTAAAAATTAAAAAATAGTAATTGCAAAAAATTTTTAAACAAAACTCATTCTATCACTCTCTTATCGCCGTACCAAACAACAGTTCTTAACGAACTTTATTAAAACTGTAGGTAAAACCATCGGGTGTACGATTCAGTGAGAGTTTACCGGGTGGTGCAAAACGATGTGGATTGGGTGTTGTGGGTTGATAGTATTGTTGGGGCTGGGGATTATATTGGGGCTGAGGAGCATTGTATTGTGGTGGTGGTGGATTATAGGCTGGTGGATTGTATGCTGGAGCTGGAGGATTGTAAGCGGGAGCTGGTGGATTATAGGCTGGTGCGGGGGCAGGTTGACGATAGGGTTGTTGATTTTGACTGAAGTTGGGATCATTGTATCGGGGATCGTAAGAGCCATCATCACCGTAATCGTCGGCACGATAATTGCTAGGGGCTGGTGGTTGATATTGTGGCTGTGGTGCATAGCCGGGCTGGGGCACGGGTTGTGGTGGTGCTGGTGGAGCTACGGGCAAATGATCGCCCGATGCTTGGAAGCTGAAATAAATAAATAAATAGAAATATGTTAATTGGAGGCGAGGAAATAATTACTTCGTTTAGAGATAATAGGCGACAAGGGCACGAAGGTATTTTAAAGATATCGCAGGTCCATGAAATTAATAGGACTTTTTAAATACAGAATTCTTCAAATGTCTATTGACTACACAAGGCCTTTCAGAGACTTTCTATATACAGAAAAAGCTTCAAATGTCATCTTTTATATATAGAATATTACCGTAAAACATTGCCCTAAGCCGAAAGATTCTTCAGAGGTTTTCTATAGACAGAATTCCCATTAGAAATGTTCTATAATACGAAGACCCTTGAAAGCAGACCATACAGAGGTCTTAATTTATAGACAAATGGTCTTTCATAGGTCTCCTATAGGAAGAAATGACATTTAAGGTTATCTATTGGCAAAAGCCCTATCCGAGGCCTTATATACGCTTCAGAGGACTTCAATCGATAGTAAAAATTTCAGAGGTGTTTAAAAACAGAATTATATTCAGAGGTATTCTATAGACAAAATACCTTTAGGAGACCTTCTATAGATTGCAGACCCTTCACAGGTCTTCTATAGATGGAAAATATTTAAGGACTAATTTATAATAGACTGCAGACAACTAAGAGGACTCCTTTGAATCAAAGACCTTTTAGAGACCCTTTATAACAAAGACCTTTCAAGAGTATTCTAAAGGACGATGTTATATATGAACAGAATTCTTATCAGAAGTATTATATACACTTCAGAGGACTTCTATCGATTTTATATTTATATAAAGTCGTCTATAGTGATCATATCCATCAGAAGTCTGCTATAGATAAACGACTTTTTATGGCTCTTCTATACGTTGCAGACCTTAGACGCCATCTTTGAAGATCTTACAGAAGCCTTCTATAAATGGAAGACCTTTCAAGGGTATTTTGTGGTACGAGGTTACCTATAAGCAGGAACACAGGTCTACTGAAGGCTTCAGAGGACTTCTACAGATATTAGATCGTTTAGGATTCCTTTAAAAACTTTCAGAATTATTTAATAAATAGTAGACCCTTAAGAGGTCTTCTATATAGCAGAGCACTTTTATAATTGGAGGATGTTTTATAGGACTTCTATTGGAAGGTCCTTTATATATATAAGATATTCTGAAGACATCAACTCTTAGAGGTCTCCTATGAATGGAATACCTTTCTGACGGCATCTATATATCGAATTGGAGAATGTTTCATAGGACTTCTATTGGAAAAATAAACCTTAGACTTTAGAGATTTTCTATCGATAGTGGATCGTTGAGTGTTTTTTTTTCTAAAAAAGATATAAGGCCTGTCAGAGATCTCCTATAGATAGCAGTCCCTCCCGGGGCTTCTATATAAGAGTAACCCTTTAGAGGTCATTCCTAGTCATTCTATAATTGAAGACCTTTCAGACATTTTGTTATGGAAGAATGTACTTCAAAGGACTTATATGGACTTTTATCTATAATAGATCGTCTAGAGCTCTTTTATACTCTGAACATCATTCAAAAGGTTTCTATGGGTAGTATACCTTTCATAGGTCTTCTGTGGAAGAGGTGCTCTATAGATATCAGAATCTTTGGAGTTCTCCCTAATTGCCTGCTATATATAGTAGGCTTTAGAGGTCTTCTCTGAATGGAAGGCCTTTCAGAGCATTTTGGAAAATTTCCGAGGCTTCGACACGAAGAAGAAATTTTAGAATGGACAGCTATAGACGGAAGGCTTACCAGTGATCTTCCATAGACATCAACAGTCTTTTAGCGATGGAAGCTAGCTTTAAGTTCTTTCATTACCAGATGTCCATTCAGAAGGCTTTTACAAATGGGAGAAATATCAGAGAAAATCTGTAGAAAAGGAACTTATCCGAATTATTGATTTGACTTCGGAGGACCTGTAGAAAAGGAACTTATCCGAATTATTGATTTGACTTCGGAGGACTTCTAAAGGTAGTTGATCGTTTAGAGCTCTTTTGAAGACAATTTCATAGTTCTTCTATAAACATCTAAAGATGTCTTCTATAAAAACCGATAGAGGTCTTCTGTGAACACCTTCAGAGGACTTCTATAAAGACCTTCACACACTTTCTATAAAGAGAGAACTTCCGGGTGAATTCTGGATAGAATAGGTCTTAGGAAAATAAAAACCTTTTCAGTATACCTCTATTCTCGTTTTATATGATTATTTTTTTATTCTAGAAATAGAACCATTATACACGTTTTATATTTTTCCAATTTGACCCACCCTTTCATATTAACATTTTTAAACTACTCGCAATTCATACAACGCCAAACAAAGAACACAGCTACCACATTAATGCACTTTTATGATTCATTGCAATTTATTTCCCAATAGTGCGAACAACAAAAACAACAACTTGTTTAGTTGCACCTCACCTGAAGCCAACATTTTTTCCCACACCTGTATTGTTCATTCATACATAAATTACAATAAAAAAAACTAATTTTCCCACAATATTACATTTATGATCATATTGGTTTGTGGACTCACCCATTTTTGCCAGCCGTATATGAAATAGTTCTCCTTTGACCAGTTGGATCTACATAACTATAGCTACCATGTCGAGTACCATCAGCATCGGTTTCTTCTTTGAAATTAATTCCATCTTCTTGTGTGTAGGCAGCACCAAATTTTCCATCGCCCGACAAATAACGTTGTTCGCTAATAATGGCCGCTGTCTTGGGATCGCTATGATAGCCTTGACCTGCTGCCACAGCAATGAGTGTTGTTAGAGCAATCTGTAATAGGATTAACATATAATGGAAATTGTGAGTAAAATAAATATTGAAAACATGTTAATAATATGCGGATGTATGTGGAACATGGAGTGGATTAGGAATGTTGCAGATCCTTGGATTTTTAGAAAACACTAGGAATATAGCCGTGATTGAAGTGCAATATTTTATATTCAAATGTGTTCTATACTGAGAATACCCTTCAGATGTTCCAAACTGGAAGGGGTCTTCAACTAACAAATCATGTGTCCATGGACAGAAGGCATATCAGCAGCCTTTAAAGATTGCAGATCATTTAGAGCTTTTTAATAGACATACTACTATTCAGAGCTCGTGGAAAGACTTTTTAGATGTTGTCGGCACTAAAGACATTAAATACCATCTATGAATGAAAGACCTTTCAGAGGCCTTCTTTAATAGATCTTCCTATTTTCGAGGTTTTTTTGCGAAATTTTGACCACTTTTAGTTTTTGGTAATGATTTTTTAATATTCAATTCAAATACACTATAGTTTTCTGGAACATCAAGAAAGGGAATCTGGCCAAAGTATAAGCACGGTGATTTAGATGACGATCGGTCAATAGTTAGTGGATCAAAGAGGCATATTATGTGAAAAATTACAAATCATTCTCATCATTTTTATTTCGAGAGATATAGTCTGATGAGTTACTACATATAGAAACATGAGTTGGGTCAGACCGAATTCATAGCCTTCAACAGAGAACAAATTCAAGTGTGGAAATGGGATAACAATGGCTGTAAAGAATTGGCCTATATTGACAATGATTTATGCCTACGTTGCCCACCATGGGCAAAAATACCATCAATCAGGAGTGACGATGAAGCTAAGTGTTATACAATGTCAAACATACGTCGTACGGTTAAATGACGACTATACTAAAGAGTAGACATGTGTTGACGATGTTTTTCTTGGAGGTTTAATATTAATAAATTTGAAGCTACGAATTGTTCTAAGTTTGCTATAAAAATCGATACTTCATTTGGAGACCTGTAGATCATTTTGATTTTTCCTTGAAGGAAGAGATAACAAAACGAGTTGACCAATAAATTCCAATAGTGGAGTAAGCGGTTTGGCAATCCTCACCTTCCATCTTGATTTATATTTTGAAGAAATATGACGATGTCCAAAGTTTGGATGAAATCGGTTATACCCTTAGAGATCTGTCGTGTGAATCACCAGACAGATTCGACAGAGAACTTGAGGTGTAAACCAAGATTTCAAGAAGGTACATTTTAGACGTAGCCAAATGCGTAACCCTAATTAGCCATAAGACTGAAAATGCCGGAAATGTTGCGTGAACTTTGTATGGGGGGAGGTGCTGTGTAAAAATATTAGGTTGGGGAAAAATAAATCCATTATTTTTATATGAACATTATTTAACATGCTTCGGAATGTTCGATTTGGGCCAAATATGCACCGTTTTGTTGTATGATTTGTTGCCATTTTAAAGGTAACTTCATAATGCATCTCTCAAAGAAGCCCTCTCTATTTACAAAAAAACTCTAGCAGTCGATTTTAACAAACCTCCCGAAATACAAATTTGCATCATAAAGAAATGCAATGCAAGAAAAACATGATAATCGCTTGGTGCGAAGTCCGGACTCGAAATTTCTGGTGAGTCACTGTAGATGCGTGTGGCCTAGCGTTGTTCTGGTGGAACACGATACCTCTGTTGGCCAATTCTGACTGTTTCTGATCAATTGTAAATGGTTTAAAAAAGTTTTATGGTCGATTTTTAGCTCCTGGGCGATGTTACGACTGCTAACATGCTGGTCAAATCCGATCATTTATACGATTTTATCGATATTTTCGACAACCGGTCTACCTGTGCGAGGTGCATCTTTAACATCAAAAATTCCTGAACGGAATCTACGAAAACAAAATTGCACATACTTGGCTGTTACAGTATCGGAACCATAAACACCATTCACAATTTTAGCCGCTTGGCTTGCATTTTCGCATTTGTCAAAGAAAAACTGTAAAATGTGCCGAATTTTCTGTTTGTTCACTTCCATATTTAACACCATCACAACTCACAACTGAATGCACCAAACAAAAAACAGCAAAATATTTTTTTTTTACTGCGAAATTCACCCTTCCAACGAGCTATACTAAAGTGTGAACCGATATTTATTAATTTTTGGTGTACGGAGATCTAAAGTGCAACATTGAAGCATCGTCCGGCAAATACCAAATAATCCTGCCACACCAAATCTTGCACCGATCTATCCTATTTACAGCACCAAACATCCTAGTACTAATAAAAATGTATGTACAAAATATCAAAGCTCTGTCTTAGATATTGCGAGCTCTACAGACAGACGGACATATCTAATTCGACATATAATTTAATTCTAATCAAGAATATATACTATATGAGATTTCCGACGAATATTTCGAGGTTTTGCAAACCGAATCGTTCTACCCTTATGACAGTGGGTATAAAAATGGGGTGACTATTGCCCTATATATTTTTTTTGTGAAAAAGATGTTTATATTCCAAGAAGATTCGAGGTATTGAAAGCGGAGTTGTTAATTTAAGGGGATCCCACCCCCCATTATCGGATTCAATAAATTTAATTTTTAATTTTCGAACATACACTAAATCAGAAATGTTCCCATAAAATTTCAAGTGCAAACCTTATAGATGTAGATAACACATTTTTCGCGAAAATGTATCTTTACGAATGGCGGGCACATTAAAAAACTAATAATCCAATTGGTTCCAAATAAATAAGTGGAATTGGTTAAGTTCTTCTTTTTTTCTAATATGATTTATTGTCGAAAATAAGGAATTTTCCAAAAATAAATTTTCATAGGTCCGCCATATTGTTTTTATGTGATGTTAATGATTCGTTCGAATTTTCGGAATTTATGCCCATCATCGAAAAGAAGGAATTTTCTTTAATTACAAAAAAACACTATAAAACCGATGATTCTGTTATGATCTGAATGTTTATTTCCAATTTAAATGGTCTCAGTAAGCTATGAATCAATTATACTATAAATTGGTTCGAATCGAATTTCGATATCCTTAGCATTTGATTTGTTTATTATATCCACTAAATAATTTATAATAGTTATTGTTCAATTTATCCACTGTCTTTTTGTAGTTATTTTTTATTAATTTTTTTTTATTAATTAAACACTCACAAATCTCAACATTTTGTTTTTAAATTTTGTTCTTGTCGTTTGATAATCCTTTTTTTCTTAAGCGACTCAGTAAACTGCTACGATTTCACAATTCAACAAAAAGCGAAAAATCCGAGGCCTTTACGTTAGGGTCCGTTAATCAAAAAAAGGATTTTGTTGGCACTTAGGTGGCCAACTTTGCTCAACGATGTTACGGCGTTGGGCTTGTTTATGTCCGACAACGGCAAACGATTTGAATAAACTGTTTGTTGCAATGAACCGTTGGAGACTTTTATAGGCAAATGGTGTAAAAACCTTGGTCAGAGCAACACAAAAACCACATAAAAGACGAACAGACATACCTACAAACACCAAGTAGTGTGATTAGGCACGGATACGGGTAGTTGTTCTGTTGCAGTCAATCTTAGCTATTGGCTGGTGTTGCTGTTGTTGTTGGTGGTGGTATTGGAGCCAGTCAGTACATATTGTCGAAAGAACAGAAACAATGACAGCAACACAGCAGCAACAACAACATGACTTCACGTACATACGTAAGCTTTAAAACTGGGAGTAACATTACCTGGTGCTGCTGCTGCCCGCGCACTTTTTTAAATGAGTTATAAACGTAATAACAACAATAACAGCCACATAGCTGGCTGGTTGGCTGGCACTATCTACCACAGATTAATAATAGCAAGTACCAACAACAATTTAATAGAAAAACTATATCAAGAGCATTTTCTTATTCTGATTGAAAACTATAACTAAGCGGACATTTTTTTGTGTTCAAATGTAAAAAAAATCAAGCTTTTGCTCTCGATTACATTCACCAAGAAGAATTCAAAGTGAATTCCAATAATACAATACATATACATATGTATGTTTTGATTTAACTCGATTTGTGGCGTTGGCTCCGGGGTCAAATGCTGTACAATTCCGACAAATTTAGTCATGGTAGGAAAATTAAAATTATTTTTCGTATTTTATGCGCTCAAAACAATTTCGAAATACTTTTCAACCCCGATAGAAATACCTATACAAATTGTATTTGAATGCTACAAAAGCATCTTTTGGCGATAAAAATCGTTGACCAGGAATAAAAATATGTCTTTGGATGTCAAGTCAGGGTTGTAAGGCGGATAACACCTCAATTGCACGTTTTTGGCGGCCATAGGGAGAGGAACGCAAAAAATGTTGGTAAATAATTTATGGTGTACCGCTCAGAATTGACGTCTTTCGTTGTTCAAGCAGAACAGTCGTAACATATCCAGCTTGATCGAAAAAAAAAAAACAGGCGACCATTTGCTTCGAAGCGCTTCTTCAACGAGCCACCATATTTATGAGAATAGGTTTAGATTTAGTTGTATATCCCATATATATTTTTGTCCGATTTTATGTAAATTATACACCAAAGAACCTAGGTTTTTTCGATTGCCACGAACATTTTTAAAGCTAACAAAATCCTGAAAAGACGGATATATGTCGGAAAGACAAACATTCCAAAACAAACAAACAAATAGCCATATCTAATAAAGTTATATATGTGTAAGTCATCCTAGAAAAGAAACTAAATGGAAAGACCATATACTGCAATGGGTCGACAAGGTTCACAAAAATTTTCTTTAGAAGAGCCGTAACCTCCAAATGGGATTTTACTAGTAAGGGCTCAGCCCGAATTCAACTTTGTATCCTAACAAATTTAATGTCAATGTTGCTTCGAGGGACTACTGTAAGAACTTAAATATGTGACCTTCATCTATAAGTGAACCGCACAATTGATATACACTATTCGGTATGCCGCACTGTTCTAAATTTAATCTCAATCAGACACCAAAAAAAAACATAATGC